TAATAAAAAGAGAGAGAGAGAGAGAGAGAGAGAGAGAGAGAGAGAGAGAGAAAGGATCATCAAATTTAAAAAAAAAAAATTAACTTTTTAACCGTATTAATAATAATAATTTTTTCAATTTTTTTTCGTCTCGTTTCGTTTTGGTTGATGTTGTTACGTTATTTACATAAAACTTTTCGTTTGTTTTTTAATTTAAAAAAAAAAATTACAGGCAAAACACGATAATGATGATAATTATTTATTTATTTATTTTTAATTTTTTACAACACACCGCGAATCTTAAAAAGCCGGTATACCAAATAATCATTATTATTTATTAATAATCAAAACGAGTAATAAATTTATTTTATTAGCGTATTAAAAAATTTGAATATTTTTAAAATGCGTAACCGCGAAAAGGAAAAAATGCAAACGTTTAATTAATAATAATAATAATAATAATTTTTTTTGAGTAATAATTTTTTTTATTACTCTTCCATTTAATTTTTTTTTTTTTTCGTTATTTATAAAACCGTATAACACCGTATCGTTTATATTACACGGATTTAAAGTATTATTATTATTATTTATACAAACGAGGGAATTTCCCCCTGCCCTTTACTCCCCCACCCTATACGCGTAGTTAAAATGGCGGCGGTTCGTTTTTTTTTATTTCAAAATATCCAAAAATTATTTTTTGTTGTTCGACTTAATTTATTATTTATTTTAAAAAAAAAAAAACAAGATCGTAATAAAATATTCTCACCCCCCTCTCCTTTCGAAAAATAAAATTAAAAGAAGGGATAATAATAATTAGGGTCTCGACCTCTCATCCTAAAATGGAAAAAAAAAACAAGTTTAAAAAAATTTAAGATGGTCAAAATTTTTTTTTTTATTTATTTAAAGGTCAAAAAATTAAAATCGTGTTTTAAAAAAAATTTTTTTTGATTTACGACTGACTATATTATTTAAATATAGCGCGCTATATTTGAAAAAAAATATAGTGCTATATAAAAATTGAAACGTGGATGAGAATTTCCTTCTCTCTTGAAAAAGAAGAAGGAAAAATGTTTTATCGAATTTTTCGTTGTTGTTATCAGTAAAAGATGATAAATATATATTTATTTACTTTTCTCTTTTTTTTATCATTATTATTATTATTATTATCGTTAAAAGGTTTTAACGTTTTTTATTTTTTTTGTAAACAGAAAAAGCGGTTAAAATGCTGTTGCCATTACTCTTGGCATTAAAGCTTAAACTTGCAACTCTACTTCCGCTTGCATTGGGTGCCATCGCGTTGGTTGCCAAAAAAGCATTGATCATTGGTAAAATAGCACTTTTGTTATCCGCATTGATCGGTCTTAAAAAACTATTGGGAAATCAACAGAAAAGCGTGACGTATGAAATCGTAAGTCACCCACATCATACGAGTCACGATGTATGGTCAGGTGGTGATTATGGCGGTTCTGCTAGTGGTGGCGGCGGCGGCGGCGGACACGGAGGCGGTTGGGCAAGATCGAGTAACGATGCACAAAATCTTGCATATAAAGCTTATGCACCAACGCAACAACAGCAATAAATTAAACAAACGTGTAAGTTATTTTCCACGCGCACGCACCCCCCTTCCCCTCCCCCCGTTTTTTTTTATATTCATAAATTTTTCTTTTTTCGTTTTTTAGTTTTTTTGTCGTCTTGAATGATAATCATAATGATGAAAACCTAGTCTGGACAATGCAAAACCAGTACGAAAAAATCAGGATACTCTATTTATTTATTTATTTATTTATGTATTTATGTATATTGTAATTTGTTTTGCTTGTCCGACAGTAGACCGTTTAAAAAAAAAACAATAACGACATGTTTTATATACAAAGTGAATGATTGACTGATTGACTGACTGACTAACTTACTGACTTACTGACTTATATAAAGACTGACGACGTAATTCCAAAGACAAAAAATTTTTTTAAAAAAAAAATTGTTACCAATGTTAACAAAGTCAAAGTAACTTGACGTGTTTTATTATTATTATTATTTCATATGTGACGTGTGGACATTTTTTTTTTGTGTCGGAATGACTGATTGAATGAATTTTTTTGACTCAATAATAAACTAAATAAAATAAAAAAAAAATTATTCGAATACTTTTTTTTTCCACTACTACTACGGAAAACCTAATAACATACAATTTTTAACGTACAAACAAAGAGACAAACAACTGTCGGATACGAACAAACAACAAATGATTTATTAAATGATAATAATAATATTATTATTATATACTTATATTTATTTATATATAAAAATATATTTTTATTAAAAAAAATTCCCTTTTTTTTCAAAACACGTTTTTTTTTTATAAATAAAATTAATCATGACGGGTAATTACAAACGATATGTTTAACCTATTATTATTATTATTATTGTTGTTGTTGTTGTTGTTTCGAGTTAAAAAAAAAAAATAATAACTTGAAAGAAGTCAAAAAAATTTTTTTTATTTAACAAGTTGTTGTATCGAATTTTTGCAAATTTAATAATTCGACGAATTTTTCATTTTTTTTTCGTGGTGTTAGAATTTGTTACCTACTTTTAAAACGTTTAATTTTATTATTAATAAAATAAATATTGTTATTATTATTATCGTCTGCTAGCAATGCGTCAACATTTAAAAGTTTTTAAACGTTTATTTTTCGTTGGAAAAAAAATTTAGACTTTTTTTTAAAGAATACTTTGCGAGGTTTTTAACATAAATTAAAATTATTTGGAATTATTTTTTAATTCATTTCGTAAAACGGAAATAACTGATTTGAATACCTAAAAAAGAAAATTTAAAAAAAAAAAATATTTCAATGGAATCGTGAAAAAATTAACGGATTTTAAACGGATCTTTAATTTTTTTAAATAAAATTATCAATAAACGTAAGGTACGAATTTGAGACATCTATCGGATACGTTTGGAACTAACAAACGTTTAATTTTAATTTTAAGGTTTTTACTATTAGTTCGTAAACAAAATCATAGATGTCGCGTTTTGGTAAAAAAAAAATTTTTTCCCGTGACTTTAAAATTTTTTTTTTTTTTTTTTAGAAAACTTTCGAATAAATTTTATTTTTCGAATTCGAAATGTGCCAACAAAACAAAAAAAAAATCATATTATTATTATTATTATTCAAAATCGATGATCGTTTTTTTTTCTTTTCTTTTCTTTTTTTTTTTTGTTCGTCGGTTGCCAATTTCTCACACTTGTCACAGTTCGTATTAATTTTCTTTTTAAATAAAAAATGGCGGATTTATATCTTATTTAAAAAATAATAATAATAATAATAATTTTAAAGAAAAATTTTTCAACGACCTAAAAATACATAAAAAAATAAATACAATCTAATCACAAAGTTTTCTTTTATTGAAATAATAAATTAATGACAAAGCAAAAGTATTGAGTACCTTATTTTATTATCATCATCATCATCACAAAAACTCTATTTGAAAAAAAAAAACCTTTTAAATAAGGATTTCATATACAATAACCTTTTAACCTTTTCATCATCACCAACACGCTTGAAAATCAAATAACGAATTTTTCTTTCGGGTTTTTTTTCTTTTACGAATTTTACTAACAACAAACAAACGTGAAATTTTTTAATTTGTTTATAATCGATTTTTTTTATTTAAATCAATAAAGAGAATAATAATAATAATTTAATTATTTCCCCCTCCCTCCCCTCCCACCACCACACGAATTAAATTTCCATTTTCGTCTAGACTTTTTTTTTTTATTTTACGTGTTATTACGTGTTTACCAAAATAAGGAAAGAAAAGAATTTTTTCAAGTTTAAATTAACCCACCCATGATGAGATATTCAGGTTCACACGCACACGCACACACACACACACAGAAGGAGCCCCGGGAGGATTTAACGGTTTGCGGAGGTTAACAATAAAAGAAAAAAAAATAAAAATTCAATTTTTGTTGGTCAAGGTCTTTTCACGATAATGACTTTTACGCCCAGATTCACGGCCATGTTTATTTTGTTCTTCATTCCATTAAAAGAGAAACGGCACTTTTTTATTTAATGCACAAGCCAAGCCTTATTTTTTTTTTTTAATATTCGCTTTCCTTTCTAATGAGAAATAGAAATAATAATAATAATAATAATAATTTCGGCATTCATTTGTTGTCATCATCATCATCATAAGGTATATATAATAAATTTTTTTTTATTATTAATTATTCGTATCGGTTCGTTGACCTTTGACTCAATATATAAAAGCAACAAAGTTTCATTTTATCCCTTTACGCACACACAAGCACAATACCCGGGTTTAAAATATTTTTTTTCGTAAAGTGCGTGAGTGCGTGTGTGCGTGTGGTCACTTTCACTTAACCGTTTTCACCATAATAATAATAATAACAAATCGAAGAATTGTACCACCGACGCCAGCCACTCTCACTCCATATTAAAAAAAATTCTGGAACGTCATTGATCGTTCGATCCTGAATCCGTTACAACTCATCATTATTTTTACATTGTCATAGAGAGTAATACTACTACGACGTTTACTATGATAATAATAATTCTATGATTAAATTTAATGCGTTTTAAGTTGTAGAAGTAGAAGAAAAAATCGGATTTATACTTTTTTTTTTTTTTTTTTTTTAGCTTTCTAATAAGATGATTGATTTTTTTTTTTTTTTTGTCATCTTTGGCATGGATTATTATCGTCTGCTCTACATTTTGTTTATTGTTTTGTTTGTTTAACGTGTTTGATTCGATATTTAAAAATTGACCTAATATATATATATTTTCTTTTTTTTTTGGCATTTATTTATTTTTTATTTTTTTTTGCCAAAAAAATTTTTTTACTTCGTTCTATTAACCAATTAAACTACAAAAAAAAAAATTTATTTAAATAATAATAATATCGGAAATCATAGAATAAATAAAAAAAATTTGGATTAAATTAATTAATATGAAAAAAATATCATAGATAATAAATATCACGTACGTATTAAAAAAAAAAGGAAATTTTTGTATGTTGTTTAAATATCCCGTTAGTGTTATGTTGACATTTGTTAATAACAAAAAAAATGTTTTGACATACATTTTAATTAACGAATAATTTCTTTTAGAAGAAGAAGAAGAAGAATTTATTTGACAATGGCGGTTAAACAAGGTCGTTTTAATTTTTTTTTTTAAAAAAAATCAGAATGCGATTTATTCCGTTAATGAAAAAAAAATGCGGTGGATTACAATGATGATGATGATGATGGCAAAGGAAAAACTTTAAAATTTCGTTTGTTTGTTTGTTCTTTCTAATTTTCGAAAATATCCTTTTAAACTAGGTCAAACCTTAAAAAAAAAAAAAGTTTAATTTAACAATGATTCTCTATATTCGAATATAAATAAATCCGTTTCGAAAAAAAAAAAAAAAAAAGAATCGAAAGTAAAACAAGAGAAAGTGATTTTTTTTTTTTTTCATTCCTTTCCGTCCGTCCGTTCATTGTTTTTTTGCGTTTATTCAAATTTTTTTTTTTTATTAAATTTATAAATAAAATTAATTTATTATTATTATTATTAACAATTGTTATGATTATGACGGTTAAAATACGTAAAAGAATTGAGAAAATTAAATTTGACGGGCACGATGATGGTGGTGGTGATGAAAATGGCGACGATGGCGAAAAATGATTAAAAACGTCGCCGGTTTTTTTTTTTTATTAAAAAATTTTTTTTTACAGGAGTTAAATTATGAAGTCGAGTCGGATTTTAATAAAGTACGAATAATAATAATAATAATAATAACTAAGTTAAAATGTCATTTCAGGGATGGGAAAATACATGAAATCTCATCAGTCGCACCGGAACAGTGAAAATGGAAGAAAAGATTACGAAAAGAAAAATTCTCAAAAAAATTCACGGGAAATAGTAGAGGAAAACAAACGATCCATCATTTAATTTCCGGTTGTTTGATATTGACACGAATAAAACGTGATAAAAAACGAATTCCTAAAGAGGCACAATAAAAAAAAAATTTCTTCATTGGAATTTCTGTCGTGAATGTGGAAACGAAGGATTGGTACTACCACATTCCAAGCCCGGGTACGACAGTGGGTTCATGCACGATCAACAAATCCACACTGACAGAACTGTGCCAGACAACAAACCCGGACATCATCTTGAGGCATAATGCGGAAAAATTATATAAGTTAATTGAAGTATCCGTACCAGCGGGAAAAAACACCAGGCAGCTAAAGAAGCGGGCAAAAGGCTCAAATAGCCAGGATGTGGGGAACAAAAACTGAAACGATTCCAGTCATCGTGGGAGCAGCACTGGGAGCCATGCCACATTCACTGATAGAAAATTTGAAGAAGATTTTGAAGAATTTAAAACAAGAAAGAAACCGTACAGGATATCGCACTACTTGGGACGGCCCACATTCTTCAAAAGCAGCAGCACCACCGATATTCGAGCATTTATTTCTAAGGAACCAGGTAGAGACCTAGAATAGATGTTTAAAAACTCCGACAAGTGTACAATTACTTGTCTTGAAATAATAGTCATAATGATAATTAAACC